ATAGGCATGTACACACACATATACATATCACATACATAAGCATATACCTATATATCCATACGTACTCACATACACATGCATATTTATATGTATGCCTTGTTGTTGTTGTTAGGTGCTGTCGAGACAGTTCCTACTAATAGCGACCCTGTGTACAACAGAATGAAACACTGCCCGATCTGCATCATCCTCATGATTGTTGTTAAGCGTGAGCCCATTGTTGCAGCTGCTGTGTCAATCCGTCTCATTGAGGATCTTCCTCTTTTTTGCTAACCCTCTACTCTACCAAGCGTATCCTTCTCCAGGGACTCATCCCTCCTGATAACATGTCCAAAGTATGTGAAATGAAGTCTTGCCATCCTTGCTTCTAAGAAGCATTCTGGCTGAACTTCTTCCAAGACAGATTTGTTCTTTTTTTGCCAGCCCATGGTATATTCAATATTCTTTGTCAGCATCATAATTCAAAGGCTTAAATTCTTCTCTGGTCTTCCTTATTCATTGCCCAGCTTTCACATGCATATTGAGGTGATTGAAAATAACCATGGCTTGGGGCAAGCTCATTTTAGTCCTTAGAGTGACATCTTTGCTTTTTTTTTCTTTTCTTTTCTAACACTTCAAAGAGGTCTTTTGCTGCAAATTTGCCCAATGCATGAGTCTTTTGATTTCTTGACTGCTGCTTCCGTAGGGATTGATTGTGGATTCATGTAAAATGAAACCCTTGACAACTTCAGTCTATTCTGTGTTTATCATGCTGTTGCTTACTGGTCCAGTTGTGAGGATTTTTGTTTTCTTTATATTGAGGTGTAATCCATACTGAAGGCTGTAGTCTTTGATCTTCATCAGTTAGTGCTTCAAGTCCTCTTCGCTTTCCGCAAGTAAGCTTGTGTCATTTGCATAACACGGGATGTTAATGAGTCTTCCTCTAATCCTGATGCCACGTTCTTCTTCATATAGTCCAGTTTCTCAGGTTATTTGTTCAGCATACAGGTTGAGTAAGTATGGTGAAAGGATACAACCCTGACACACACCTGTTCTGATTTTAAACCATGCAGTATCCCCTTGTTCTGTTTGAATGACTGCCTCTTGATCTATGTACAGGTTCCTTATAAGCACAATTAAGTGTTTTGGAATTCCCATTCTTCTCAATGTTATCCATAATTTGTTATGATCCACACAGTGGAATGCCTTTCCATACTCAGTAAAACACAGGTAAACATCTTTCTGGTATTCTTTGCTTTCAGCCAGGATCCATCTGATATCAGCAATGATATATCCCTTATTCCATGTGTACTTGTAAATTAGGCTTGAATTTCTGGCAGTTCCCTGTTGATGTACTCCTGCAACCACTTTTGAATGATCTTCAGCAAAATTTTACGTGTGTGTGGTGTTAATGATATTGTTTGATAATTTCCACATTCTGTTGGATCAGCTTTCTTGGGAATAGGCATAAATATAGATCTCTTCCAGGAGGTTGGCCAGGTAGCTGTCTTCCAAATATCTTTGCATAGGTGAGTGAGCACTTTCAGTGCTGCATCTGTTTGTTGAAATATCTCAGTTAGTATTCCATCAATTTCTGAAGCCTCGTTCTTTGCCAGTGTCTTCAGTGCAACTTGGACTTCTTCCTTCAGTACCATTGGTTCTTGATCATCTGCTGCCTCCTGAAATGACTGAACAACAACTGGTTCTTTCTGGTACAGTGACTGTGTATTCCTTCCATCTGCTTTTGATGCTTCCTACATCTTTCAGTACTTTTGCCCATAATATCCTTCACTATTGCAACTTGAGGCTTGAAATTTTTCTTCAGTTCTTTCAGCTTGAGAAATGCCAAGTCTGTTCTTCCCTTTTGATTTTCTAATTCCAGGTCTTTGCACATGTCGTTATAATACTTTACTTTGTCTTCTCAAGCCACCCCTTGAAATCTTCTGTTCAGTTCTTTTACTTCATCATTTCTTCATTCACTTTAGCTACTAGATGTTCAAGAGCAAGCTTCAGAGTCTCTTCGGACATCCATTTTGGTCTTTTCTTTCTTTCCTGTCTTTTTAATGCCCTCTTGCTTTCTTGATGTATGATGTCCTTGATGCCATTCCACAGCTCGTCTGGTTTTTGGTCGGTCATTACTGTTCAGTACGTCAGGTATATTCTTGAGATGGTCTCCAAATTCAGGTGGGATATACTCAAGGTTGTACTTCGGCTCTCGTGCACTTGTACTAATTTTCTTCAGCTTCAGTTCAAACTTGCACATGAGCAATTGATGCTGTCTCTGCAGTTAGTCCCTGGCCTTGTTCTAACTGATAATATTGACCTTTTCCATCATGTCTTTCCACAGATGCCGTTGATTTGATTCATGTGTATCCCATCGGGCGAGGTCCACGTGTGTAGTTGCTGTTTATGTTGTGGAAAAAAACTATTTGCAATGAAGAAGTCATTGGTCTTGCAAAATTCTATCACGCGATCTCCAGCTTTGTTTCTATCACCAAGGCCATGTTTTCCAACTACTGATCCTTTTTCTTTGTTTCCAACTTTTGCATTCCAATCGCCAGTAATTATCAATGCATTCTGATTGCATGTTCGATTAATTTCAGACTGCAGAAGTTGGTAAAAATCTTCAGTTTCTTCATCTTTTACCTTAGTTGTTGGTGTGTAAATTTGAATAATAATCATATTAACTGGCCTTCCTTGTAGGCGTATGGGTATTATCCTATCACTGACAGTGTTGTACTTCAGGGTAGATTTTGGAATGTTCTTTTTGATGATGAATGCAACGCCATTCCTCTTCAATTTGTCATTCCTGGCATAGTAGACCATATGATTGATTGTCTGATTCAAAATGGCCAATACCAGTCCATTTCAGCTCACTAATGCCTAGGATATTGATGTTTGTGCATTCCGTTTCAGTTTTGATGATATCCAGTTTTCCTAGGTTCATACTTCATATGTTCCACGTTCCTGTTATTAATGGATGTTTGCAGCTGTTCCTTCTCATTTTGAGTTATGCATCATCAGCAAATGAAGGTTCCGAAAGCTTGACTCCATCCAGGTAGTTAAAGTTAACTCTACTATGAGGAGTCAGCAATTCACCAGTCATCTTTTGAATGCCTTCCAACCTGATATGCTCGTCTTCTGGCACTGTATCAGACAGTATTCTGCTGCTATTCATAAGGTTTCCAATGGCTAATTTTTTTCAGAAGTAAACTTCCAGGTCCTTCTTCCTAATCTGTCTTAGTTTGGAAGCTCAGCTGAAACCTGTCCACCATAGGTGGCCCTGCTGGTATTTGAATATCAGTGGCATAGCTTCCAGCATAACAGTAACATGCAAACCCCCACAGTATGACAAACTGACAGATATGTGTGGTACATGTATGCCTACCTACCTACAAATATATTTGCAGATATATTTTTTGGTGGTTGTTGCCGTTGTTGTAAAATTGTATATACTATAGCAACTACCAAAAGGTTCTTTGCTTGTGTGTGTGTGTGTATGTCTTAGTGATACTGTTTGTCTTGACTAAGCTGTGCATACTTCACCCTTGTTCAGTGTTACCTTTCCTATCACCAAAAATAACAAATGTTTACTTTCTAGAGAGTGAATCCCTCTCTCCTCCACCACCCATCTTTGGTAACCACTAATGAACATTAGTTTATGTATATTTACTTATTCATGTCATTTTAAAAGTGAAAACATACAATATTTGTTCTTTTGTGATTGACTCATTTGGCTCAACATAATGACCTCCGGGTTCCTCCACATTGTAAAATGTTTCAGGAACTAGTTTTTCTTTATTGCTGAGTAGTATTCGGGAGCCTTGGTGGCACAGTGGTTAAGAGCCCGGCTGCTAACCGAAAGGTCAGCAGTTTGAATCCACCAGCTGTTTCTTAGAGGCCGCATAGGGCAGTTCTACTCGGTCTTTATAGGGTTTCTATGAGTCAGAGTTGACTTGAGGGCAATGGATTTGAGTTTGGAGTAGTATTCCAGTGTATGTACATACCACATTTTACTTATTCATTCATCCATTGATGGGCACTTCGGTTGTTTCCATCTTTTTGCTATTGTGAGTAGTGCTGCAATGAACATAGGTGTACATATGTCTGTTCTTATCAGTTCTGTTTGATCCCTAGAGTATATACTTCAGAGTGGAACTGCAGGTTTTTCACCTGAGTCGCTTTCTCTGGGAAGTCTTCATCCTCTTCATCACAACCATTTTTTTCATTTATGTTGATAAGCTCACCTTCACTAAGTTCCTTTGGTTGCATATCTAGAATCTTCCAAATGTCTATAATGCCAACATTCTCACAGTCATCTCTTTCTTATATAACTTCATTTATTTTTAATTCGAATTTCACTTCCAGCATTATCATTTTTCATTTCTTTGCTGCCCTTTTATTTTTGTTGGCTAGTTCCTGCTTTCAGTGACCAGTTTTCATAAAATATCACACGGGTTTATCACTGGGAGATATGGAAGCAACACAGCTGCATGCTTTGCTGTCTGTGCATGTACTGAATAACACACCTGCAGTGACCAATCACCAACAGACTTGAGAAAAGTGGTATTATTGGTCAGGATCACGATGAACGTGTTATTTACCAGTGATTTGTGAACTGAAGAGTAAGCTGCAAAGTTTATACTTTATGCAGTTATTCACAGTTCATATACTGTGGTAACTGAAATTTGGACTATGTTATTGGGAAACTGGTATTATTTAAATAAACCATGCTTACTGAAATCCATGCATATCACAACTGTGTAAAGGGAAGACTGCCTGCCCTTGTATGCGTAGGTGCATATGAATGAAGTAACTACTAAAGCTAGCTTTTTGCAAAGAGTTGAACAATCATGTGGTACCATGATTAGAATGTGGTTTAAATCTAATAGTTTGTTTTGTGGGAACAATATCAAATTTTCTAACTAAATTTGAATACTTAATGAAACAAAGACTATAATTTTATGTAGCATTTGAAAAGCAACACAAAACTGAAATGCATTGTTTTGATTTTTTTCTTCCAGTTTTATGTATGGGGAATTGACTGACAAGAAGACCATTGAGAAAGTCAGGCAGACTTTTGACAATTATGAGTCAAACTGCTTTGAAGTTCTTCTGTACAAGAAAAACAGTAGGTATCTAAATTATCAATAAGAAGTGCCAGCTCTTTATTAATATTATTCTTTCGTAAGTGGTAGCTGAGCTATAATGTAGAGAGAATGTAAAACTCTTACTATTCCTTCTCTTGGCAGAGGTAGGGGATGCTAGTAAAATTAGATAGCAAAATTAATAAATGATTCTAGCTATGAAAAGTCATCTTTTGAGGAATGGAACAAAAATGTGGTATATTTTAAATGTAACTATTTTATTTTTGTGCCAGGCAGCAAAATATTTTGTAAGTAATACTCATAAGAAAGATCCTATTATATAACATCAACAAAAATGATAGAGAAATATTTTTTTTTCTGCTTATGATTACAGGAAAAGGTGATTGTTATCATTGGGTATGTGTGGTTATCTTTCTACACAGAAATAGGTAACATGTGAACAGATGGTATTTACTTGGAGGAGGAATCTTTACCAGCATGGCCTTTTGCTAGAACCCAGACTGTTTCGTGTGGAAGTCTAGCGGAAGTAGTCATTGCTTTCAGAATGGGCCATTACATCTGGTAAATTTTTGTTGATTGATATGAGCTGTTCTTTAGGATGGGATCTGTGAGTGGGCAATTGTGCATTATATACTCAAATAAGACCTCATGATATAGACTGCCCATCAGGGTTTGAGGGGAGGGAAACAAACAAAAAACAAATTAGCACACTCATCAACCAAGTCCACCTTCCTAATTCACTTTTTTCTGTCATCTACTTTTATCTCTCTTTTCTGCTTCCCCAAATTTTCCTTTCTTTCTTTTATTTAAATCAACAGTTGCTTCATAAGATGGTTCAATTTATTTGGTATTAATAATAAATGATACTAAAGGTCATTATTATCTTCAGTGGAAGTCGATGGTTACTAAATTCTTCCCAGTTTCCATTCTGACTTCAACAAGAAACATTTATTCCATGTTCAATGCCTTTTGGATCTTGTGGAGCAAAATGTATCCCCTCCATTTTACTGCAAACATTTGTTCTCTATGGAATATTTGGAATTGATACTAAGTTTTTCTTTTTACCAATAGCCTGTCAAAGGGATAACAATAACCACAGGCATTGCTTTGGAGTGGTGCACTTGGTAATGGGAACACTTGTCTTTAGTAGTTTTATCTAAAGAATGTCTTATTATCTTTCATTTTAGGATCAGGGCTAAAGAGGTATCTCTGTTTGAATTCAGAGCCAAATGTTGGGTTGGCTTGTCACCCAGAAGGCAATTTATTCTGAATGATCAGCTCTGCTCTCTACAAAAGAAAAGGCAGGATGTAGTTACTTTCTGGGTCTTTTCCACTAGGTCCAAATGCGCACTGGTAACTCATAGTTGACCCATATGCCAAAACCCCTTCATTTTCAGATAAATTTATTCCTTGAAGGATTAGATAAGAACCCCAGGCTTAGCAAGTAATTTAAGAATATTCCATACTACTGAGGCCATTCACCCTGACATTTAAACAGAATAAACAAATCTTTGCCTGATTTTACAACGTCAAAACCAAGTCCTTAGTGTCTGAATTTCTTGGAAATACCTTAGTGAAATTTCAGTTTTGTTGATTTCTTTAAATCATGTTATCAGTTACTTGAATTTTACATTTCCAAAAATCTCCTTGCAGGGTGCACATATGTGGTCAGGTACTTTGCTTTGTTTTAATGGCTTGAAATAATTATATTACCTTTGTTTAGGCCTCTCTGGTCTGTTCGGGCCCCGGTGGCACAGTGGTTAAGCACTAAGCTGCTAATTAAAAGGTCAGCAGTTCGAATCCACCAGCCACTCCATGGGAGAAAAATGTGGCAGTCTGTTTCCATAAAGATTACAGCTTTCAAAACCCTATGGGGCAATTCTTCTGTGTCCTATAGGATCACTGAGTCAGAATTAACCTGATGGCAACAGATATCTATAGATAGGTAATAGGAATACATCCCATAGCACTATAGATTAAAATTCATATCTCCTTTCCGTGCAGTATCTACACTGTGCTTTTGTTTTTTGGCTTTAATATGAAGTGTAGGTATTATCCATGTGCTATAATGGAATTTTATATTAAAAAAAAATTTCCTTAAAAATTTTTTAAGTAGTTAGCTGAAAAACATTTTAACATTAACTGAACCTCCAAAAGTATATTTTTGTGACTTTTTTCCCCTAGGAAATTTTATGTATGTATATATATATACGTAAGTATGTATGTATTTTTAATACACTTAATTTTTTAGAGCCATTTTAGGTTTACAGAAAAATTATACTGAAAGTACAGAGAGTTCTCATATAGTTCCCCTCCTCTCTGCATAGTTTCTCCTATTATTGACATCTTGCGTTAGTGTGGTACGTTTGTTACAAGGGTGAACCAATATTGACACATTACTGTTAACTAAAGTCCATAGTTTACAATTAAAGTGTTAAAAAGCAGAGATGTCACCTTGAAGACTAAGGTGCTCCTGACCCAAGCCATGGTGTTTTCAATCTCCTCATATGTATATGAAAGCTGGACAATGAATAAGGAAGACTGAAGAAGAATTAATGCCCTTGAATTATGTATGGTGTTGGCAAAGAATATTGAATATACCACGGGCTGCCAAAAGAACAAACAAATCTGTCTTGGAAGAAGTACAGCCAGAATGCTCCTTAGAAGCAAGGATGGCAAGACCACGTCTCTCATACTTTAGTCATGTTATTAGGAGGGATCAGTACCTGGAGAAGGACATCAGGCTTGGTAAAGTAGAGGGTCAGCTCTACTTTAAGGAATTTAAATTTAAATTTACAAGAAGACCCTCGACAAAATGGATTGACACAGTGGCTGCAACAATGGGCTCAAACATAACAACGATTGTAAGGATGGCGCAGGACTGGGCAGTGTTTCTTTCTGTTGTACATAGGGTTGCTATGAGTCAGAACTGAGTCGATGGCACCTAATAAAAACAACAGCATAGTTTACATTAGAGTTCACTCTCTGTGTTGTATAGTACTATGGGTGTTGACAAATGCTTAATATCGTGTGTCCACCATTACAGTATCATGCTGAATATTTTCACTGCCCTTAAAATGCCCTGTGCTCCACTTATTCATCCCTTCCTCCCTCCCACTAAACCCCTGGCAACCATTGTTATCTTTACTACCTCTCTAATTTTGCCTTTTCCAAGTGTCATAAAGTTGGAATCATACAGTATGTAGCTTTCTCATACTACCTTCTTTCACTTAGCAATATACATTTAATTTTTCTCCATATCTTTCATAACTTGAGAATGTATTTCTTTTTACCACTGAATAATACTCCACTGTATGGACGTACCACAGTTTATTTATCTGTTCACCTACTCAAGGACAGCTTGGTTTTATCCAAGTTTTGGCAATTATGAATAAAATTACCATAAACATGTGTGGTCAGGCTTTTAAGTGGACTAAACTTTTTTCATTTGGGTAAATACCTGGGGGAGATATTGCTGGATCATATGGTAAGTCTATGTTTAGCTTTGTAAGAAGCTGCCAGACTGTCTTCCAAAGTGATTGTACCATTTTGCGTTTGTACCAGCAATGGATAAAAGTTTGTTTCTGTTGTTCCCCATCCTTGTCTGCATTTGGTGTTGTCAATGTTTTGGATTTTTGCCATTCTAGTAGCTTTGTAGAGTTACTATAATTTGCAATTTCCATGTAATATAAAATGCTGAGCATCTTTTCATATGCTTATTTTCCATTTGCATATCTTTTTTGGTGAGATGCTGTGCAGATTTTTTGTAATTGAATTGTTTTCTTATTGTTGAGCTTTAATAGTTCTCTACCAAATATGTGTTTTGCAAATATTTTCTCCCAGACTCTGGTTTGTCTTTTCATTGTCTTAACAGTGTCTTGTCATAGAGCAGAAGTTTTTAGTTTTAATGAAGTCCAGCACCAATTTTTTTCTTTCATGGATTATGCTTTTGGTGTTGTACCTGAAAAGCTAGTGCTAAGTCCAAGGTCATCTAGATTTTCTCCTATGTTTTCTTCCAGAAGTTGTATAGTTTTGCATCTTACATTTAGGTCTACGATACATTTTGAGTTAATTTTTGTGAAAGCTATAAGTTCTGTGTCTAGATTCATTTTTTTTGTATTTGTATGTCCGGTACCATTTGTTGAAAAGACTATCCTTTCTCCATTGAATTGCCTTTACTCCTTTGTCAAAGATCTATTGACTGTATTTGTGTGGGTCTATTTCTGTGCTCTCTATTCTGTTCTTGGTCTTTTGCCTCTCCATATAAACTTTAGGATCAGGTTGTTGATATCCACAAAACAATTTGCTGGAATTTTGATTGAGATTGTGTTGAAGCTATTGATTGGGTTGTGACTTTTTTTTGTTAGAAGAAATCATGCCTGTAGCATAATGTCTGGAAATTCCTGAATGCCAAGTCCTCCCAACACTTCCATTAAGTAATTAGGTTAAATACCATTTTGCAAACGGGGAAATTGAAGATCTGATTTCACATGTGCTATGATTGACATTTCATTTTGCAGTCTCCGTTCTTTAGGGCCGCTGCTCTGACTAGCAGGGACATGTTTCTACTATTGGGAAGGAAATTGTAGCTCTGGGTGATGATTTAAAATGGCTTTTGCTGTCTATACAAAGGGAGATCTGTGACCGCGGGGACCACTCAAAGTAATCGATGCCAGGGCACTGCTCAGATTTTCCAGCAACAACAGGCCTCTCTGCCTAACCCTCCCAGATTCTCTGCCCCCCAAGCCCCAAATCCAGAATTGCAAGGAATTTTTACCAACCATTTGGTAAATATTCGGCCTACTTGGGGAAGTCTGACCCGATGGCGCACTTGGAAAAATATCTACCAGGATATCTGAAAGCAATTTTAAAGACTGTGCTCTGGCTGTACGTCAGAATTTCGAAAGTTGCTGTTTCTGTTGGGCGTCACGAAGTCTAACATCATCTGTTTCTGTGCAGGTTTCTAAAAGACCTTGGAAAACTACGTATTTTTAATGCCCCCTTCTCTGCGTTTATGACCCTTCTGCCTTCACTGACAATTGGAACAGCCATAGGTCAAGTGTCTGCTTGTGGCTGTATCTGTTGATTTGTACAAGTATGCACATCACTCACAGTTCTGGGACACACTGTTTAAAATAAGAAAAAGAAAACAAAAAACAAACCTCTCTGGGAGATGGTACAATTGCTTCGAGGTACCTGTCTCATCCTGCACTCATTTTGGAAAAGGCCATGTCCTTTCACAGACCCTCTGGGGTTGCAAAGGACCTGGGTGTCAGAGCTGGATGTTCTCACAGAAAACTCCTCTCTCTAAATTGCTGACCTCTTGAGTCCAGTGGTCAAGTATAAATGGCAAATTCCCCTTTGTGGTAGCATTAGGTGATTTTTTTTTTTTTTGGTCACAGGTATGGAGGTGAGGGTTATTTGGTTTTTGCTGGAAGACAATAAGAGGCTATTAACTCTCACCTAGAGACTGTATTAATAGCTGCACATTTCACTCCCCAAATCCTAAACCTGACAAAAACATTTATGTTTTTCAGGTAGAATATTTGAAGGGGCTTTATTGTACTCTGGTCTGGAGAGACTATGATGTTCTGCAATGTGGAATCCAAAGTCAGCTTTCTTGCATTTCTTTTACAGCCAATAATTCTTCAAAAAACAAACAAATAAACATAACCCAAAAAAAAAAAAAAAAAAACTGCTTACAACCTCCTTGCCACCATTGTCATCTCATTCTGAGAAGGGGAACTTATTTGACATGTCAGTTTCTGATTATCCTAATCTTAAGCCTTAAATTCTTTGAAACCCTATGTCCTCTGGAGTCTTCAGGAGCCATTGTTTGAAGAACATGACGGCAGAGTCCAGCCTTATGCTTTGAGTGAGAGAAATAAGAAACAGTGGCTTGTGAAAACACCTGAGACTCTGAAGGTCTAGGGGCATCTTTTTTTTTTTCTTCCTCTAAGCTTGCCTCAGATGTTTTAGGTAGAGCTCTGTGTACATCAGGCATCAAGTGTGGCTGACATTCTCTTTTCTGTGATGTGGGGGAATGCAGTTGAAGCCATAGAGCCTGCCGTTTTACCAATGAGAGAGCCTTGTGATTGAGACAGCATATCAGATGTTACTTCAAGAGGACTATTTATCAGGGTGTCAGACAGGCTGTTGCAGTTAATTGGAAACAATCATGTATTCTCAAAATGACAAGATGAAAGTAGCAGATAGGAGAGGTCATACCTGGGAAGCCTGTCCAAGAGAAAGCTGGTGAGAATAGCATTTTTCTAGGGACCCAGACCTAAAAGTGATGCTGAAGTTATTTAAGTAGCAAGACTGCGTTTGGGTTCCTGAATCTCTGCTGGTACTAGCAGCATCCCTCTGTAACAAGGCTATTAAGACAAAAATAAAAATACTGCTCATAGCTACCAGTTAGTGAATACTCCCAGTAAACTGGTTATTATGCTAATTCATTTTAACTAATTTGTATAATGGCCCTGTGGGATGTGGTACTATTATTATCCCCATTATACAGATGACAAAAATGAGACTCAGAAGGGTTAAGTAACTTGCCCAATGTCAGGTAATTAATAACTAGCAGAGTCAGGATTAGAACCCAGATCTTTCTGATTCCTAAACCTACTCTATTAATTCTTTGCTTCTCAAACTGAGGAGAAGTATCTATTCAGACATTGATGAATATGGTACGTAAACAGAGATATAATATGTTCCTTAAATGGAGTCTTGTTTTGTTCTGTGGTCTCTTCGGTGCTGAAATAAGACCTCAAGCTGCTCTTTCTGTCACACTTTGGAACTGCCACCTCTTCATGGCTGTGCCAACTTCTCTTACCCTGAGAACTTTCACTTATCTTGTTGACCCAAGACCTTCTTATATTTATACATTCAGTGCCTTCCCACCTATACAAGTGAGATGTGATGAAAGACAAATTCACACCCCTCCTGACATGTCTACTTCAGTCTTTCCTGTGTCCTTAAGCAAATAACATGGACTGCTCTTGGCTCTTCATTTACATAGGAAAGTTTTTCCAAACTTTGCTATTCTTGTCCCACCATGACACACCTTCCTTCTCAATGTTCAAACTCTTTGGCCTGTCCTCAGTCATTTTCCAGATAAGCTATTGGAACCTACTTATGACTCTTTACTGTTCTGGGCTTTCAACGCAATGCCATCAACAATGTGCAAAACAAAGTCAACTTTCTTGTATTTCTTTTATGCCAATAATTCCTTTAAAATATCTGCTTACAACCTCCTTGCTGTTCTTCGGTTACTTCTGAGAAAGGAAACTTTTTTTTGCAAGCACCCCTCCCCAACTATGTCTATCATTTCTACTATGTATTTTACCGGTTTCTGTTGAGTTGTTAGGCAAATCTCATAATTCCCTTGGTGATCTCTCCCTACTTCTAGCATTTTGTTAAATGTCATATGCGAGGAAAAAAATTCTGTTCACTTACCAAGACAGTTGTTTTCTTCACTCATGCCTACTTCCAAACTTGCTACAATGAAACCGAGATGGCTTAGAAGTCAAACTAAATCAAGGATGGCAGAAAGTCAAAATAAATCATAAGCATAAGGAGTAAAAGCAATAGGAAATCCAGGGAAAACCGGACCTTGCTTAATTTTAAATGAGATGCAATATTTTTAAAAAGAAATACAATTTCAATTTAATAATAACAAATCAATCATCACTCGATTTAATAATTATGAATGAGTACCTTGTTTGCCAGGTACTGTAACCGATTCTGAGTATAATGCTGAAATGACACCCTGTGCTTTACATTAGAATTCTGATATTTTGGGTTGAAAATTATGTTTATTAATTTTTGAACAACCAATAGTTGATACAAAATTAAAGGTTTTAAAAAATTCATTGCAGCAATTAAAATACTGTTGTTTTGGTACTAATTATCACATAGCACTGGGCAGCTGAAAGAAGAGACAGAGGCCGAACTATTTCTGAGGCCATATCACACTTTATTGTCCTTTTTCTTTCTCTCTGTTACAGGAACCCCTGTTTGGTTTTATATGCAAATTGCACCAATAAGAAATGAACATGAAAAGGTGGTCTTGTTCCTGTGCACTTTCAAGGATATTACATTGTTTAAACAACCAATAGAGGATGATTCAACAAAAGGTAATTTTCAGTGGAATTACTATTAGGAATAGGGTTGTCACATAAAGACATTATCATCATCATCATCGTTTTTTAACCAAATTCACTAGTGGAACTGAAAAATGTGATTTTACTTTGTGGCTCTTTATTTGCTTCAGATTCATACTAGTAATCACCCAGATCCATTTTATTCAATCACATTGTTTGAATGGAAACAGCAAAGATGGACTAAACCAAAGCAAAAACCAAACCCAATGCCCTCGAGTAGATTCTGACTCATAGTGACCCTATAGGACAGAGTAGAATTGTTTCCAAGGAGCGGCTGGTGGATTCGAACTGCTGATCTTTTGGTTAGTAGCCAAGCTCTTAACCACTGTGCTGCCAGGGCTTCAAAGATGGAACAGTAGTTGGTTAATTTAAACATAAGGGGCCCTGGTGGCACAGTGGTTAAGTGCCTGCTGCTAACTGAAAGGTCAGCAGTTTGAACTCACCAGCTATTCCACGGCAGAAAGATGTGGCAGTCTGCTTCCATAAAGCTTTACAGCCTTGGAAACCCTATGGGGCAGTTCTACTCTCAGGGTACCAGAGGAATCAACTCCACAACAACAACAATTTAAATATAATAGGGGGAATTAAGATAGGAGGATGAAATTTCATAGAGTGTTGTTAATTTAGAACCAGTATAAAGGGAGTTTCAACACTTTTTGCCATGGTGAACTTTAGGAAAAAAAGTATAACAATTTATTGGATTATTTGGGTGAAGTCGGCAGTTTGAATACACCAGCCGCTCCTTGGAAACCCTATGGGACATTTCTACTCTGTCCTGTAGGGAGGGTCGTTATGAGTCAGAATGGACTCAACAGCAATGGGTTTTGGTCTCTAAGAGAAGAGTTGATTGAATTGATTAGAGTTTGATTAGTTGACGTTTTCAAGTTACTTTTTACCCTTTATTTCTTTGGCTGTTGTAGATAGAAAATTATTTTGAGTAGATGATTCTGGATTATGTAAAGAATAACTTTGTCACCAAAATTGTAGCTGGCAAAATTCAAACATTTTAACTGCAGTTTTCTTGACTGTAGTATACAGGAAGACTGCTACAGAAACCAATAGTCAGTGACATGTGCTTTTACCCTTTTTTAAATCTAATTTATTCTCATTTCATTCTCTCCAGTTATGTTTCGATTAGAAACTGATGTCATATTAATAGAGGCTTTCAAATACCCATAGAATTGGTTTTTATGAAATATTTTTATTAATCTCTTAGGATTCTAAAAATGAAATGTCTTCCTCTTTGCATTTGGCAAACGTTGCCTTTTCTTACCTCACAAAAAAACCTGGCATAGAAGTTGTAGTCTTTCCAACTGTAATCATAGCTATAGAGAACATTTCATTAGGTTTATTCTTTGTGTATGAATTCACATATATAGCATGTACTTGTTCAGTTTCTGGTAGCAACAAACTGCAAGAGGAGAAGTCTTACAATGTGAAAATCATTTAAAGTATGACATGGAATAATTCATTTGCGAGTGTTTCTAAAAATGTGGTGTGTATTAAATTATCTCCTGGAAGATGGAATATAGTATTCACTTTTGGACCCATACCACTCGTCCCTTTACCTTTTCACGATGAACATGAAAGCTTAGACCCAGTGCTTGGGAAATTTAGGATAAGTTTAAAAGCTATTTTTGTTAGTGATATAGTCTTCTGATAGTATTTAGGTTCAATGTTATTTTGTTTGTTTGTTTTAAAATTCGTGGTACTCCATCCAAAGACAGTGAAATACACTCTCCCAAGTTCACATGAAACATTTACCAAGATAGACCACATTCTGAGCCATAAAATATACCTTAATAAATTTTAAAGAATTGAAATCAAACAAAGTATGTTCTCAGACCACAGTGGAATTAAACTAGAAATCAATAACAGAAAGAATACTAGAAAATCCCCAAATACTTGGAAAATATGTTAGAAATTAAACAACATATTTCTAAATAACTCATGGATCAAAGAAGAAGCCTTAATGGAAATTAAATAATATTTTGAACTAAGTTAAAATGAAAATACAACTTATCAAAATTTGTGGGGTGCTGAAAAAACAGTTCTTAGAAGGAAATTTATAACATTAAATGCGTATATTAGAAAGAATGATATAAAATGATACAAAGTCAATAATTCAAGCTTCCACCTTAGGAAAGTAAACAAAGAAGAGCAACCTAAAGCAAGAAGAAGAAAATAAATAACAATTAGAGCAGAAATCAATGAAATTGAAAACAGGAAAAGAATAGAGAAAATCAATGAAACCAAAAGCTAGGTCTTTAAAAGATCAATAAAATTGGGATATCTCTAGCTACGCTAAGCAAGAAAAAAAAGAGAGAAGACGCAAATTACTAACATTAGGAATTAAGAAGAGTCGCCATTACTGATAACCATGGATATTAAAAGCATAAAAAAGGAATATTATAATCAACTCTATACCTACCAATTTGATAACTTAGATGAAATGGACCAATTCCTTGAAAGATGTGACCTGTAAAAACTCACACAAGGAGAAACAGATAATTCAGATAACCTGAAAAACCCTTTATCTATTTAAAAAATTGAAACAATAATTAATAAACTTCCAAAAAAAGAAAGCACAGGGTCCAGATGATTTCACCAGTGAATTCTACCAAACATTTAAGTAAGAAATGATACCAATTCTCCACATTCTCTTCAGAATATAGAAGCAAAGGGAATTCATCTAACTCATTCTAAGAGGCCAGCATTATCCTGATACCAAAACCAGATAAAGACATTACAAGAAATAGACATAATAATTCTCAACAAAAATCATATCCAACAATGTGTAAGGTGAATTCACACCATGACCAACAGGGATTTATTGCACATACAGAAGGTTGGTTCAGCACTCAAAACTCAATCATTATAATCCATCATATTAACAGACTAAGGAAGAAAAATCATATGATCATATTAATTGATGCAGAAAAAGCATTTGACAAAATTCAGCACCCATTCATAATAAAACAAACAAAACTCTTTCAGAACTAGAACTACAGTGGAACTTCCTCAACATGATAAGGAACATCTAAAAATCAACAGTTAACATTAAACTTAATGGTAAGAGACTGAATGCCTTCTCTCTAAGATCAGGAACAACACAAAAATGTCCTCCCACCACTCCTATTCAACATCCTACTGAAAGTCCTAGCTCATGCAATAAGACAAGAAAAAGAAATAAAATATATACAGATTGGAAAGGAAGAAATAAAACTATTTTTATTTGCAGATGACATGATTGTCTATGTAGAAAATCCCAAATAATTTACAAAAATAAAAATCTTCAAACTAATAAGTGAGTATAGTAAGCTCACAGAATAGAAGGTCAATAGTTTTCCTATATACCAGCAATGAATGGGAATTTGAAATGAGAAAAACAGTATCATTTATAATAACATCAACAAAATCAAATACTTCAGTATAAATTTAAAATATACACAGGATTTGCATGTGGAAAACTATAAAACACTAACGAAATAAGTCAGTTTTAAGTAACTGGAGAGAGATTCTGAGTTCATGGATTAGACGACTCAATATTGTTAAAATGTCAATTGTTTGCAACTTGACCTATAGATTCGGTAAAATCCCAATCGCAGTTTTAGAAAGCTATTGTTTAGATATTGACAAACTGATTCTAAAAATTACATGGAAAGGCAAAAGACCTAGGATAGCCAACACTGCTACAAAGAACAAAATTAGACTCACATTCCTTGAGTTTAAGATACTACAAAGCTATAGTAATAAAGATGACATGGCATTAGTGAAAGAACAGACACACAGATTAGTGGAACACTGCAAAGAGCCCAGAAATAGACCCAAACAAATACAGTCAACTATTTCTTATAAAGGTACAAATGCAATTTAATGGAGAAAGGATAGTCTTTTCAACAGATAGTGCTAGAATAATTGGATATCTATTCCAAAAAATTGTACTAGATAGGTACCTAATACTTTTCATAAAAATTAACTGAAAATGGATCATAGATCTGAATAAAAAATGCAAAACTATAAAACCTAGGAGAAAAATCTGTTAACCTTAGATTTGGTGCTGTGTTTCTAGATACCTCACCAAAAGCATGATACATGAAAGAAAAGTTGGTATACTGGACTTTATTAAAATTAAAAACTTCTAAAGTTTTGCTCAACGAATGACACTATTAAAGAGAATGAAAATGCAAGCCACAGACTGAGAGAAAATATTTGCAAAACGTTGTATCTGATAAAGGACTTCTATCCAAAATATACAAGAGATTCTTAAAACTCAACAATAAGAAAATAAGCAACTCAATTAAAACTTGGACAAATTTTCTGAACAGACACCTCACCTCGCAGAAGATATACAAGACAATTGAACATATAAAATGATGTTCAACATCATTTGTTATTAGGGAAATACAAATTAAAACAACAATGAGATTGTACACCTGTTGGAATAACTAAAATAATAAAAAACAAAACCTTACAATACCAATTGCTGGTGAGGATGCAGAGCAGCAGTAACTCTCATTCACTGGTGGGTGGTGTTGTTATGTTGTTAGGTGCCCTTGAGTCAGTTCCAAGTCATAACCACCCTGTGTACAACAGAACAAAATACTGCCCAGTCCTGTGCCATCTTCATAATCATTGCTGTGTTTGAGCCCATTCTTGCAGCCACTGTGTCAATCCATCTCAGTGAGTGTCATCCTCATTGGTGGTAGGAAGACAAAATTGTATACCTAGTCACTTTGGAATATATTTTGGCAGTTTTTTACAAAGTTAAACATAGGTTTATCATACAATCCATAAGTCATACTCCTAGATATTTACCAGGCTAACTTGAAAAGTTAGGTCAACATGAAAACCTTTGCACACATGTTTACAACAGCTTTATTCATAATTGCCGAAAATTGGAAGCAACCAATGTATGCTTCAGTAGGTGAATGGATAAACCAGCTGTGGTGCTAGTAAGTATTTAGTGGTAA